AAATCTGTCTAACTTCAGTGCTGCACAGACAAAGGCAACAAGGGGACAGCAGATGAAGTGCTATACTGGAAGACAGAAAAAGCCGGGTTCAAATCCTGACTCCAACACTTACTAGCTTGGTACTCATGGTTCAGTCACTGAATTTCTCTAGAGCCTCAGTTTCCTCATCTGTAAAATAGGCATGTCATCTGTAATACTTTCTTTACAAGGGCTACCATGAGGCTCACATGAGATAATATTCAAAAGGCATTTTGCAGACCTTAAAGCATTGCACAGATGTCAGTTCTGACAAGGTTTCGACCAGATGTGATTCCATCAGTGTAGGGAACTGCCGAGAAGGAACTCCTTCTGCCAGTGCAGATCAGTCCTGGCAGGCAGCTTACCAGCTCAGAGTTGCCTGGGGCATAAAGGGGAGGTGACCAGCCTGCCCCTGGAGGAGGGGGAAGAGGAGGGGAGCAGAAGAGGGGGAGGAAGTGAAGGAGGAGGAGGAAGAGGGGGAGGAAGAGAAGGAGGAGGAGAGGGGAAGAAGAGGGTGAGGAGGTGAGGGGGAAGAGGGAGGAGGAAGAGAAGGAGGAAGAGAGGAAGGAGGTAGAGGAAGAGAGGGAGGAGGAGGCAAAGAAGAGGGTGAGGAGGCAAGGGAGGAGGGAAGAAGGAGGAGGAGGGAAAGGAAGAGAGGAGGGAGAGGAGAAGGGGAGGAGAAAGAGGAGGGAAGGCGTGTGTGTGTGTGTGTGTGTGTGTGTGTGGTGTGGGTGTGTGTGTGTGTGTGTGTGTGTGTTGGCAGAGCCATTAACAGTACCTGGTGCTAGTCTAGAGCCCCCTGGTCTACAGAATCTCTCAAATCCCTCAAACTCTAAACCTGGGATAGATCTCCAGGAGCCCAAGAAAGGCCTAAGAGGTGAGCTCTGTTGGGCGGGGTCAGTTCTGTGTGGAGGAGGAACCAGGAAAGGCTTCAAGGGAAGATGGGCCCTTCCTGTGGAGCTGGACTCAGGTAGACCTCAGGTCAAATCCAGCCCTAATGGCTGTGTGATCTCAGGCAAGTCACTTAACTTCTTTTTTTTTTGCCTTGATTTTCTCATCTGCAAAATGGAGAAAGTAACAGCACCTACTTCTGAGAGTTGTGAGGCTTAAGTGAGATTATTTGTAAAATGCTTTGCAAACTTTAAGGTGCTATAGAAATGCTGGCCATTATCCTCAGGTACTATTCAAGGTAAAGAGGCCTGGGCTGGACTCTAGTTCCTCATTTCCAAGCAAAGCCACCCAGCAAGGCTTTCACCCAAACTCTGCCAACCCCGCCCTGGCAAACACATTCTTCCCTTCCAACCCCCTGGCACTCCAGGTGACTCCCCTGCCAGGCTGGCCCAGCCCAGGAAGCAGTCCCACTTCTCCTGACCTTGTTTGAGAAACTTCTCTCTTTCATTCAGGAAATAAATGCCTCTGTACGGAAGGCAAGTCAGAGAAGAGGAGCCATCACTTGAGGATTTTTATTTAGTCATTTGCCAATGCCCTTCCCACTCGTGAATCTGTCGTTGTACCCTAAAGAGTCTAAATGACAGTGGCAGCACCCCTTGCTCCCTCCCAACACAGGGGAGATGGAATGGAAATTAGGAAACAGGAGCTTTTTCCAAAATGCTCCAATGTTGGAGAATTAACTCCAGCTGGGTTCCCTCAAGTGACCCACAGGACTTTCAAAGTAAATGTAAAACAAATTTCTAAAAGAAAGTCAATCATGCATAAACACAAAAGGCTTAGGCTGCAGTTGGGAGTTTGGAACAATAAAAGTTTATAGCTTTTCCAACCGAGACAGGCTCCTGGGGAGAAGGAGAGGGAGGGGGCGGGAGATGCTGCTCCCTCCCTCCCATCGGATGCTCCCCAGGGCGGGGACTTTTTATGGTGCTGGGCCACAGCTCAGGGGTGGGCAACCCAGGGCACTGCGGGTGGTTCCCCACCACTCCCTACTCCACAGATTCTTTCAACTCCTCCCTTCCTCTTCTGCTGCGGTCCTTCGCTTCATTCTGTCAGTTCATTTTCAACAAATGTTTATGGAGCACCTATTATGTGGGCACAGCTAGAGCCTACACCTTGTGGAGGGGGGAAAATGTCAGGCTTGGAATCAAAGCCCAGTCTCTGACACTTACCAGCTGGGAGACCCTGGGTAATCCACTTAACCTGTCCGACCTTTAGGCAACTGAAGCTAGCTATGTTACACATGTTTCAATTTTGAAAATTTTTCATTTTTGTTGTGAATTTCAGAGGCAGCTAGATGGCACAGTGAATAGAGTGCTGGGCCCAGAGTCTTATAGACCTGAGTTCAAATCCAGTCTCAGACACTTACTAGCAGCGTGACCCTGGGCAAGTCACTTCACCCTGTTTGCCTCAGTTTCCTCATCTATAAATGAGCCGGAGAAGGAAATGGTAAATCACTCCAGGATCTTTGCCAAGAAAATCCCAAATGGGGTCATGAAGAGTTGGACACAACTGAAATGAATGAACAATAATAATAAAAGTCATCAACACAAACATTTTATACAAAGAAAACAATAAAAATATGGACTATATTTGAAGCCATGAGCTTATTATGTACATTCTAAAGTATGTATTATATAGAATATTATAGGAACATAATTGTTGACTGTGTTCCCTAGTGACTTTTTATGTTTTCTTCCATCTATTTTTTGAAATTAAGTTTTATTGCTATCTTGTTTTTATATCACCTAAATTTCCTCCTGCACTTCTCTTCTGCCCCCTCCCAGAAAGCCATTCTTTATACAACGGATACTTTTAAAAGAAAAAAAGAGAAAAGAACCAGCAAAACCATCAAAAATTCTAACAATCTATTAAGTGTTTTCTACTGTGGACCCATCCCCACTTCCCCAAAGGAGTAGGGTAAGGTGTCTTCTCATACCTCTTCTTTGGGGCTACTCTGGTTACTTGTAAGTTTACAGCATTCTTTATATTTATGGTTTCGTTTTTTACATCCTTTGTACCTAAGATTTTTTTTAGCTTTTACCCATGCTTTTCCCCCTTTTTTTTCCTTTTTTGCATTTCTTTTGTTTCCTACTAAAGTCACTCCTCACCCCAATAGACATCCTCCCTTGTAATAAATGAGCATAGTCAAGAAAGGCAGTTGAATACGTTGCCCATATCTGAAAAAGCTCCACCCCATTCTGCATCCCTGCATCTCCATCCCCCTCCTGCCAAGAGGTGAATAGCACACTTTATCATCCCTCTTCTGAGGGCATGACTGCTCAATGAGCTGATCAGAGTTCTGTGGTCTTTCAAAGTTGTTTTTAAAGATGTAAGTTATAGGAGGGTTGCAATGATGGAGCTCCCACTGAGTACTGACCTTTGGGCAAAGGACTGTATTAAGAACAGGGTTATTATTTTGCCATGTTACAGATGGCAAAACTGACACTCAGGAAGGTAAAGTGATGGGTTCATGGTCAGACATTTAGGAAACGCCAATGCTACGACTCTAATCCAGTTCTCCTGGATATTAGCAAGAGACAGAAATTGAGAGGACCAAGGAGTGAGAGAAGGGGAAGGTCTGAGAGAAGAGTCTCTTCCAGGAATGGGGAATAGGTATGAGAACAGACAGAAAGCTGGTAAAGGGCAGGATGAACTTGGGGAAGGAAGAGTCCCAGTTTGTGTGCAATGTAGATGAAAAGGAAAGAAGAATCTGTTTCTTGCTCCCCATTTTTCCTTTTCGCCTTGTGTGCCCTGGATGGGTCAGCCTGTGCCACCCAAGGGCATTGCTTAACACAGGAGGCTGATCAAAGTAGGACCTGGATGACTTGTACGAGCACAGCACAGTTTGTGCTCAGCTCTCAGGGAAGCTATCCATCACTGCCTCCTGTGAGACGTGGGAAGCAGACACGGAGGCCCCCAGTGCATTCTGCAGCTCTCCATCCTCCAGATAAACACACAACAGACTAAATCGCCATGGAGAGTTCAAACCCTCATCCTGGGACTGGCACCAAAAGGAATTCCAAGGGCTCTGACTGTATCACCTCCTCCGGCAGCGAAATCACGTCTGCTCATTTTTAATCCAAACTCTTAGCTCCTTCCTGCCCAAGTGGCTTTTGCCTGGCTTGGCGTCCCAAAGGCTGAAGAGAGCACAACATGACAGCTCCGTCCTAGGGTCCCCTACCTGAGGCCAGCTTGGCATGGAAGGTTTCCAGAAAGGATCAGAGATTCTTTATGCTGCTCTACAAAGTACCCCAATGACCAAAGTGAACCCCTCTAAATTGAGGGCAGGCAGTAGGAGAAAATCAGTTAACATTAATATCAAAATCAACATGTCCAAAATTGAGCTCATCATCTTTCCCTCAAAACCCTCACCCTTCAAAGCTTCCTATTTCTGTAGAGGGCATCCCTATCCTTCCAGTCTCCCAGATTGTAACCCCTACATTCCACCCCACTCCTCACTCTCCATCACCAGTCAAATCCACCATTTCTATCTCCACAACATCTCTCCCATCTATGGCTACCAACTCAATTGGGGGTAACCTCATCACTTCTCATCTAGAATGTTGCCAAGATCCTCCAAAATTGTCCTCCTAGCTTCAAGTCTCTGTTGATTGATTCAAATTAATTACAGGTGTGTCCGAGCTAGTTGGAAAAAAAAGCGGGGAACCCCCGTTCTTATTTCCCCCCCATTTCTGAAGTCAGAACTATCCAAATAATCCCTACATTGCTTCCACACTTAACAGAAGGCAAGGAGGATGCTCTCAGGGCCCCAAATCCCTCATTCACAGGCATCTAGTTAACCCTCTCTTCTGATTCTCTGTCTTACATTGGAAGAAAGGGTCATGAGACTGTGGTTTTAAAGCTGGAAGGGAACTGTACAGACCATCTGGTCCAACAGCTTTACTGAGTTGTAGGAGATTCACACAAAACCATTCTAAGTAACAGTACGGCCAAAACAAGAGTTTTCCAACGGACAGTCATCATTTGGGAGTGAGGCCCCCAAGCCCGGAAGGCTCACTTACTCACTCACTCACCCGAGTGTTCATGCAGGACTTCCCTCGCTTGTACTCTTTGTGGGTTCCTCGCTTGTCTAATTTGTTCCAAAGGGCCTTGGCCTTCCAGGTCGTCACCTTAGACTTCAGCTTGGAATAGAAGTTCCTGTGGTCTAAGGGGTCGAGCTGCAGGTGCCGAATGAGGATGTTGAAGGCCTGCAGGGTGCCTTTACATGTGGATGCTTGGACGAAGTTCTCAAAAATCTGGCCAGCCTGGCTCTGCTTCTCATCTTCATTTTCCCCCATGTTCCGATGGCAGGCCGTAGAAAGGATTAAACAGGAGTTGCACAGCAAAGATCACAGAGGAGAGCACCAGGGAATACTTGAAGAACTGTCACACCTGGAGGAAGAGAGAAAGAACACAGATCAGCTTTATGCATTAACACAATGGAATGGGGGTGGAGGGAGGAGGTGGAGAGAGGAAGAAAGTGGTAGTGATCCAACAGCAATTTATGAAAAAGTCCGGTTCTAAATATTCAGTTTGCAATGCTATATTGTTAGCACATCTCAAAGGAAGTTTTTGTTTCTATTCAAAACCCAATTCCAGCTAAAGTTGACATTAGCTGGATAACCATTAAAAAAAAAAGCAAAGGGATATAAAATACATATCGTTAAAAACAGAAATTCATAGTAATTAACACCACTAAAATTCATCCATTAGACACTGGGAATGGGGGGGGGTGCTCCCTCTTTAAAGTGAGTAATAACCTGGTTGTTAAATGTAGAATTCCCATCTAGTTATGTGCCAACTTCATTCAGCCTCTAGGAAACGCCTATCTAGTCCAATCACCTCATTAACTAAATGAAGCCTGAATCACAGAAAAGTCAGAGGGCTGATAAATGCCCAGTTAAGACCAGGTCCCAAATCTCCCAACACCTAGAGTCCAATGCTCCTTCCACCACACCACTGATTCCCAAACCTGATTCACAGGTGCAGATTTAAAGCATTATTCAGTATGCCTCAAAAGACCATACCCAGTAACTGAGTGAGATAAAACCGAAAGCCTGATCATAGGATAGAATGGATATTTTTTATGGACAGGAGTGAAGGGATGCCAATGGAGAGGCATCTAAGAATTAAGGCTCACTTACCATGGTGTTCATGCAGGATGTGACCACCATCCTCCTCACCACTAGACACCCCCAATTTTACAATCTCTCTTCATCAGTTACAGGGCAGAAGCCCTTCTCTTGCAGGGTTGGTACACAGAAGATGCCCACAAACCCCTCTCTGTTTTCAGGAGCTTTGGACTGGCATTAAACCTGGAGGCACAGAGAATGTCACATATGCCCCTGGAGAAATGCAAATGCAGTCTGTGCTGCCTAAATCCAAACCAGGAGCTATTTGGAGCAAGTGCACAGACTGATGGGGGAAAATGTAATGAGTGTTCATTCAAATTACCAAAATAACTTCCTTGGGTTTTGGCCACCATCCCTCCTATCTGTCCTACTCTAACCTCAGACATTTCTTAGGCAAGTCATTTAAATACTTTCAAAGCAAAAAAAAAAAAAAAGTCAATGCATTTGCTCTGATTTCCCAGGCATGTGCTTTTTTTCTCTGAACTGAGCTAAATTGCAGCTATTTTAGAAGAATGAGCTGGTAGCATCGTCAGCGGAGTCATGTTGCTCCATCAATATTCCTGGCACATAATGCACTGAGTAGGGCTCCTCACATGGAGAAGGATATGCTAACAGGAACCAGAGAGCCCCTCCACAGAACCCCAAGGGGTCTATAATAAGTCCTTTGCATCTATTCAGTATTTATTCTGTCTATATTGATGGTGACTTTCCTGAGAAAATATCAGCTCCTTGAGAGCATAGATTTTTTTTTCTTTTCATCTTTGCATCCCCAGTGCCCAGCACAGGTACCTAGCACACAGTAGGTGCTTGTTGGTTGCCAGATTGGGCTTCTTCATACTTCAAATGCAAGGATTTTTTAATATGTCCATTTGACTTCCCAATTGGTCTCATAAAACTCAAATAGCAAAGGATATCATCTGTCCCCCAGTTTCCCATGACCAATTGGATTCTAAGAGTGGCTAGAAAATGAAGGAAGAAGACAAAGGCAGAGAAGAAGAAAGGAATTTACAGGCTGCCTGGACCTCTAGTGGGGAGGCGGGCATTTTCATGTACAAGAGAAGAAAGGGCTGTTGTGGGGGAGGGGTGCCCAAAGGGTTCTGGGTCACCACAGCCTCTCCAAGGATGCCCGAGGGGGCCAAGTGGTTTCCTGCCAGGGAACAAAGCCAAATTAGGAAGTGAGGTGGCATGGTACAGTGGAAAGTGTGCTAAATCTGAAGCCAGAGGATCTGGGTTGGAATCTAGGCCAGTTTCTTCCTGCCTGTGTGACCTTCAGCAAGTCACCTCCCACTCATTAGGGTTCAATTTTTTCATCTATAAAAATGAAGGGATTGGGCTAGCTGACTTTAAAGGTCCCTTAAAGATCAAAATCTAAGGTCCTATAGCATGGCAGTCATTCCTCTATTCCCAGCAAAACCAGGGCCTTTCCTCTTTCATTCCCTGTCTCTGTTCCATCTGTCCTGCTCATCTTCCCCAAACCCCACTTCTATCATGTCTCTCTCCTGCTCAAGAGCCAGCAATGACTCCCTGTTACCTCCTTTTTCTACAAACTCCTTGACTTAGTGTTCAAGACTCTGTTCAACCTGACCTCACCTTCCCAACCTTATGCCCAATGCTCCCCCAAATTTTCTCTCAGCCCCATTCAAGCTCTTTTCTCAACTTTCCTGAAGCACATACCATGTCTCTGCTCATACAGTATTCCCCAACCCACCCTATGCCCTCCCCCTCCTCTCTGCCCACCTAAATCAACTTGTGCTAGACTTGGAGTCTGGAAGACCCAGGTTCTAATCCCTCCTCAGGTTACTTACTACCTGAGCTAAATAGGTAGTAAGTAACCTGAGGAGGGATTAGAAGGTAGGTAAGTACTCAGACACATAAGTACCTCAGGTAGTAAGTAACCTGAGGAAGGATTAAAGCCCAGGTAGGTACTTAAGTACCTCAGGTAGTAAGTGACCTGAAGAAGCATTAGAACCCAGGGAAGGTACTTAAGTACCTCAGATAGTAAGTGACCTGAAGAAGGAGTAGAACCCAGGGAAGGTACTTAAGTACCTCAGGTAGTAAGTGACCTGAAGAAGGAGTAGAACCCAGGGAAGGTACTTAAGTACCTCAGGTAGTAAGTGACCTGAAGAAGGATTAGAACTTGGGTCTTCTAGATTCCAAGTCATTCTGGGCAAGTCACTTCCCATCTCTAGGATCTAGTTCCCTCATCTGTAAAATAAAAGAAATATACTCTATGGCCTCAGAGGTTCCTTTCAGCTCTCAGTCTATGACACTATGATCTTACTCAGCCTTCAAGGCCTACCTCTCCTTTGCCAAGTCTTCCTTGGCTTGACCACATAGCATTCTTTGTCTTGTCCCATTTGTTCAGTGCTGCTTCCCACAGAGACAACAACAGTGAACAGATGGTGTTCCTTGGAGTCCAAGGACCTCAGTTCAAGCCCCCCTACACACACACACACACACACACACACACACAATTCCATAAGACTAAGAGTTACAGATAACTTGCAGATGAGCATGATGAAGGGAGTTTCTACACTAGGGAGTCCCCCACCTGAATGACATCGCAAGTCCTCACCAACAAAAATAGCTGTCATTTACATAGAACTTGAAAGTTTGCAAAGCACCTTAATGTGAAAAGCAACATGGCAGAGCGATTGGAGACTTTAGCTGAGGTCAAGAAGGCCATGAGTTTAAGTGATAGTTCCAACACCGTCCATGGACTCTAGACCAGTCACTTAACCTCTGAGATCCCCACACTATAAAGAACAGGGGCTAATGAATATTAGTGAGGGAGTACCTATGTCAATGGAAATCTCAGATCCCAACCCCAAAAATGTTTTATTTACATTAGCTCACTTAATGCTCGCAATGAGTCTATAGTGTAGGTTCTGTGGACATTATTTTCCTCCTTTTACTGATGAGGAAACTGAGGCTCAGACTCTATGTCTTATATCCCAGCAGAGATTTGGGGCTGTTTGGCAGTCATGTAACAAAAAGAGCAAGGACTCTGAGAGAAGATCTGGGTTGGAGTCCTGATTCTGCTTCTTTAACTGTATAAGCCTGGCTAAGTGATAGAAAACCTCCAGCCTTAATTTCCTCAATTTGTAAAATAAGGGTTCATTCATTCATTCACCTAACCATTGCTTATTCAGCACCTGCAGCTAAAAGGGATCCATGGTGGATCACCTGGGTATGGGGGACTGATATAACAATAATTAAGATATGATTAATCCCTGACCTCCTGAAGCTTACGATCTAGCAAACCACACAAATGTGCAACATTCTAACAATCAGAATGCAGACTAGACCATGGCAAAATCATAACAGGTACAAAGTGTTATTTGAGGTTTGAGGAAGGAAAAATCATTCCCAACTGTAACATCACCACCACCGTCAGCAGCAACAGCATCATAGCCATAATTACACTATCTCCTTTCCTAGCCTAAGTGATGTGATGCTCAAATAAAGTACCGTGTAAAGTGTTACATAAGGATGAACTATAGTTACTAGCATAATTCTTTTCAAGTGCGCTTCCCCCAACTATGGTAAGCTGTATTCAAATATGTGTTGAATCAGGTCGGATATGCCAAGCATCCAGGGACCAATGGAGGGGTAGGCCAGTCATCTTGTTTCCAAAGCAACCTGCCTCCCTGTGATCAGGATGGAAATCAAAGGAAGTGGGAGGGAGTCAGGCAATGGGGCTAAAAGGTGAGCAAGATTATGCAGGCCAGGTAGGCTTGTATTTGAAGTAGCAAGCAGCAATTTCAATAGAACAATTAGGCAGATCTAGAATCACTGAAATCACTAACTTATAACTTAGGAGGGCCATTTTGTTGCTGTTCAGTCATTTTTCAGTTATGTCCAACTCTCCATAAACCCATTTGGGATTTTCTTGGCAAAGATAATGGAGCGGTTTGCCATTTCCTTCTCCAGTTCATTTTATAGATGAGGAACTGAGGCCAGGGTCACACAGCTAGCACGTGTCTGAGGCTGGATTTGAACTCAGAAAGATGAGTCTTCCTAACTTCAGGCCTGGCACTCTATATATACTGTACCACCTAGCTGCCCTGGAAGGGACCTTACAGCTCATCAATTCTAATACCTTCATTTTTACAGATGAAAACTGAGGCCCAGGATTTCACAGCTAGTAAGAGTCTAAGGCAACCCAGAGGAGTGCTGGTAAATATTTAACAACAGGACACATATTTAAGTTGAAACTGCATTGTCATCATTTTTTCCATCCCCTTCTTAAGTCTAGAC